ATTGAATTTTTTTTTATATATTTTACTCATTTATAAAATTTTTAAAAATATTATGGCTTTATGTCTCATAATGCTTATAAACGATAGTTATGGTAACTTTTTATAAAAATAAATAGAAAAATGTAATTTTTATTGAATAAAATTGTGTATAGTCAGTCATGGGACTACGTAGCTTTACGCAATAATTTTATATGGCACAATTTTGAAAATAATGTGTTATTTGTTATATGCGCATGTGGGGAGAGAATCTAGTTAAACTTTCTCAAATTTTATGTTTTTGCAAAAAACTTTTTATGAACAATAGGCGAACAAAAGTGCATAGAAAGTAAAAACTTTCTATGTGTAAAATAGGTTATGTTTATTCAGGTACACATGCATATACATAAACATATATGTGTGTGTATATTTTATGATGCTCATTCAAGGTGAGGTGTCTGCCAGTTGAGCTACTCATGCCGTAACTTAAATATTACCTTTTTTTTTTTGGCAACATGCTCGTCGCCGCAATATGTTTAATCAGCAGAGTAAACCAGGGAGGAGCTGACCAGGCACAGGCTCAGGCTCAGGCTCAGGGTCTGCTGCTGGATCTGCCTCGACAACGCCTCCCGCACACACACACACATACACACGCAAGCACAGTGAAAGGAAAAAAAATCAAAAGGACCTTCGCTCGGCGAATCGCCGCCAATGTCCGTCTCTGTGTCCTGCGAATAAAAGTTGTCCTTTTTATGCACATGCACAGAGACACGATGTATACGATGTACGATATTTATATGCTACGCTGTATATTTAATTTTAGTGCATCATAAAGTTGGCAAAGTCAATGACCAGTTAAGTCAACAGATGAACCAGCCACCCAAATCCCGCCTGGGCGTGGCTGTTGCGCTGGGCGTGAGCACGAGCTGGGCCCATAAACTTCTGAATGTCCAGATTATCAACATTTCTGAGTTATTTGAATTTGCACATCGCTTATAATTTAATAAAATATTTCAATGGGACGGGCAAAGCCTGGCGACCTGCGCCACTAAATGAAAGCTACAAAATCATAATAATAATAGTAATAATAAAAAAAAAAAAATCATAATACACCAGCCGCCGAGCATATCTCCAGGATGATGATATTATTGAAATGTGGTTGGCTGGCTGGTTGGCTGGCTGGCATTAAGCGCTGCCCGCGGCCTCTGCCACCGACCGAAAAGCATCCTCGGGAATTGTGAAACATTTTACACTCGACTGCTAACAAAAAAATAGATTTTCGTAAAATATTTTTATACCCGCAGCAAGCGTATGCTATGGGGCATAATCGCAACTATTACCCGAGCATTTCATTTCTCTCTTCTGCCATTTGGAATTTATAGCCAGGGCTGCTTTATGCAATCGAGGATGAGCTGAACTCGTGCCTCCGAATTCAGTTTCTCTTCTGATTCCAAACAAATTTGATAGTTAGAACTGGTTTATATAATTGACAACGAGCCGAGTCTGACATGGGTATCAGCTCAGCTTGATATCACATCAAATTTCAATTCAGTTTTCCCAGTGCAAAATAATAAATACAATTTCTAGTGCAAAATAATAAATAGCAAATTTTGCGGCTTTCATCATAACAATAAATCGCAGAAGTTTCACCCAATAAATTTAAATCATATTTTAAGGTTTTGGTTTTTCATGGAAAAGTTTCAATGGAGTTGGTTTACAAGGAATTATTATTAAAGTTAGCATACATTT